CTTTGCAGACATAATTTTTTTCTCCATTCCTTTTCCTTGTGCTCGTGTACCACTACTGCTGTAGCAGTAGAATTTAAGCTGACTGTACATGTACAGTAGTTATGCTCTCATGAGGCAGTGTCCTGCAGCCATTTCCCAACCTTGTCATTGTGAGAAATCCTTGACTGAGTAGCTTTGTGTTTCGAATTTTTAAAAGCAATCACACTTTTAAGGTGTTCACAGAGATTTCTGCACTGTGTTTTTACTCCTTGTCCAGCAAGTCAGTACAGTAACTTTCTTGAGACTGCCTCAGGAGAAGTATTGAAACTGCAGATGTTTTGCGCAGCTGACAGAAGCGAATATTTAACTTCAGAATGATTCTTGAAAGTCAGGTGGTATTGCCATGTGTGATCTGTTCCTGGAAGTTCAGGAGTACGTTTCCTATGTCTTGGGGGACTTGCAACCCTGTCAAGTCAATTTGTCTTCTATGTATCTCTAGTTTTTCTGATTTCATTGAGTCCAAAACGACTAGAGTTCTTGCTGAAAGAAGGTTGAACAAAAGCTGAAAGAAAACATTATGATAGCCTTAAAAACCTGCTTTTTGTGTTGATACGCATTCATTTACTCTTTGCTTCTTTGCCTTCCTCTTTTCCTTCTCAAATCCAAAGCAAAACCCCAACTGAATGTGTTGAATAAGACAAGATATGGAGACTTCAGGTGGGAATGGTATTTGATGGGGTTTAGGAATGTTGGGTGTTGAGAGACCTATACTTTAACACTTTTGTAAACCAGAGCAGCTGTTGACATTGCATTACCAGCCTGGTGATGGCATGTTATGCAGTAGTGTCTGCAGTTGTAGTGTAGATCCTTGGACTAAAACTTGCTGTGTAGACAGAAAACTACAACAGAGAAAAGACTGCGATTTGGGATGATTTTCCTCTTAAATGTCTCTGTTGCTTTACATTTTTAAGTCTAATTGATGAAGTACTGGAATTGGAATTCATTAGAGCTTGAGAAGCTAAATATACTTGAACAGTTTTCTTAACTACTGATCAAAGCTCTTTTAATTTTTCATTTTGTTTGGGTTTTGTTCTTTGTTTTCAAAATAGTAAATAAAGTGTTGGTCTGGAGGTACTGCATTACATGAGTGAAAAAAAGAGGTTTACGGGAGTCTCATGCTTCTTTTTTGATTGTCATGAAAGAAAGTACAACCACTTTCTTTGCATAACGGTTTGTGAAGCCCCATCTCTCTTCAATGCTTTCTCCTTTTTTTACTAGTGTGCTGTACTAGTATACAGAAAGTAATTAAACTGGTAATTTATTGTGTGGTTTTTTCCTTCAAAATACAGCTGATTTGGCTGCTTGCTAGAGTTGCAGTGTGTCTGCAAAGTCAGGTATTAACTGCTGGTGAGGGACTTTTGCACTGTGCCAGACCCTGACCTGGAAACTGAAGCCTCTGCTTGTCTGAATATTTTTTGATCTTTATTAAACAGATACTAATTAAGAGTTTTCCTCCTCCCAGTCTCAAATCTTATTTCCTCATTTGATCTGCAGTTGAAATTAAGTTCATCAGTTTGATACCCTGCTCATTGCTATGACAACTGCTGGTGAGGGACTTTTGCACTGTGCCAGACCCTGACCTGGAAACTGAAGCCTCTGCTTGTCTGAATATTTTTTGATCTTTATTAAACAGATACTAATTAAGAGTTTTCCTCCTCCCAGTCTCAAATCTTATTTCCTCATTTGATCTGCAGTTGAAATTAAGTTCATCAGTTTGATACCCTGCTCATTGCTATGACAACACAACACTTGATGAATATGAGGAGCTGGAGAGAATAAAAAGCTGCTTTGCAAGCAAGGAAATGTTCTTGTTTGGCCCCATCTTATTAATTAATAATGTCACACTTAATGCTCAAAGCTGTAGATGCTGTGGTAATCTGAAGGCAGTGGCTCTCTGCATGTTGCTGTGTTGCTCTGAGGTAGAAGTGGTAGAGTGTGAAGCCTCAGCATCAGGGAGGTGCTGTGTGTCCCTGGTCAGTGTCTGTGGTGGAGCAGGGCCTTTCACAGCTGTTCCTCCTGCTCTGGGGCTGTGCTGGTTGCTGTGTCTGGACACTGCCTGTAGATAGTGGGAGCCAACTTAAGGGTAAATAAAATAACAGTATTTTGAAAGATCTCTTCATATCAGTGCTGCCACTTGTGCTTTTAACAAGACTGGATCGTGTCTGGTGGATTATATATAACGTGTCCTTGTTGGATTGATGGGGACTGTCAAACTGGGCTGGGATTTCCATGCTTGTCTGAAGCAAGCATAATTCCATACAGTACCTTCACTCTTTTTTTGGTTCAAACCTGTTGCCAGATTGTGCTGCTCATGGGCTGCATGGTCAGGAGGATGAGAATCTCCTTTAAAGACCCCATTATGCTGTTCAGGTTATTTGAGCTCTGTTCCCACAGCAGGCTGGTCTTGCTGTGCTGCTTTATCTTCCGGATGTGTTGCTGCTTTTTTCCTTAGAATTTTTTTTTCCCCTTTCCTTCTCCTTTCATCCTGAAGAACTAACCTGACTGAAGCAGTGGTGACACACAAACACACTGAAAAATATGGGCTAGGAAAGGGAGAAAAGACACAATCCACTTCAGATACCATAGGTTGCTTGGCTGTCCAAGTGTAGACTGTAGGTCAGCATGTGCTTTACTAACACACGGAAGACTCTTTAATATATTTGTACTTTTGTTCTGTCTAAAATACAGATCACAATATTTTGAGTTGCTTTGGTGAACTTGGGGAAAATGGAAATAATGGAATATCAAAATGCCTAGGTACCAAGTTCTGTGTAAATATGATGTTAATTTAGAAGTTATGAACAAATTGAGTCCCAATGGAGTTATAATTTCTTAACAAATCTTAAATCACAGTGGACTGATTCAAGAAAATCATATTTGAAACTATTAGCTTGTCTTTCAGAGAAGTTAGTGCTCTCTGTTGTGTGCTCTGTTCAGGTTTTGTTTTTCGTTGCTCACTGTGCTGGGTAGAATTTCTGATGAGCAGACTGATACTTGGGGGGAAAAACCCCAAACCAACAAAAATCTCAAACAAAAAAACAACCCAAAGATTATTATTAGTCTACATAAATTTAAGTTTTCAGATGTTGGCAGCCCAGTCACCAAAGCTTATAAAGCAGATTTTTGCACAAAGAGCTAAGGTAATTCTACTGCAAACTCAACTGAAAATTGTCCATACATGTTTAAAATATCAATGAACAGCCATGAGCAGGTTGTCAGTGGTAAGTGTTCAACTTGCTGTTCAGAGCATCTCCACATCTTAATGTTTTGCTTTCCATAGAACATGGCATCAGGAGCTTGTGTTACTTCTGGTTTTGTCTATATCTGGCCTTTAGGGTGTCAGACATAGTGCTCTGAAGGGCTGTGTGTTGTGGGACTAGTAGGCAACAAGATTAGGCTGCCTCAAGAGACTGAGAGACAGATTGACTTTGGTGAATATATTCATAAAGCTGGAGAAACACGGTGTTCCAACTCAGCTCATGCTGCAGTCAGTTCCTGGTAAAGGCAGGCCTTTTCTTCTTAAATATATAAGAGTTCATGGAAATACATTTTTTTCCTCAGACTTTATCGAATACTCTAACTAGTACATGAAGAAGTTCAGTGTCAGGATTCAGTTTTGACCAACAAGTTTGTATTTCTGAAGTGAAGAGATAATGGAGTTAATTGTCCTTTTGATTGTAGATGAGACTCCTGAGCCTCATGAATCGATGCTTAAACTGAAGCATCTTGTTGCATCTTTAATTGCTGATCCCCTTTACTTGTGACTGCCAGTGAGCAGCTGGGTATTGAACACATCCTTGTCCATGCGATCAGAGTGGTGTGCAGTTTCTGTCTGAGTGTTACTGTGCACCAAGCTTGGTGCTAGCCAGCTTGCACAAAGCTGCCAAGCTGTGTGCTGAAGCTTGCTCATGCTTTGGGGCTGCAGTAAAAGCACTTTGCTGTTTGTTTTCATATCTCCTTCTGCTTCCTTCAAGGTACACCACTTGAAATTTGCCCTTAGTTCCAGAAATTTGCGTTTTTACTTCTCAGTGTCATGGGGATAGAAACCAGGCAGTCGACCATGTCCATTCTGACCAGTTGAGAGATCTGTTTCCAATTATCCTAGCTGCTATAAAACATGTTAATCAATTAGTCTTGTGTTAAGTGCTGTACAAACTCAAGGGGAATAATGTCTTGTTTCAAAGTAGTTTTAATGCTAGAGGATGAATGAGAATGAAAACTGACAGCCACAAATGTGATATCAGTGGTGTGTGTGTGTGACTGTGATTTTCTTTTGTGTTTCTTTGTAACTGTACAACCAAGGTATGTTTGAAGCAGGGCAATAGGTAGTTTTATAACTTGTTTCTGTAAATACGAAGGAGAATAAAACAGAAATACCGACTACAGAGGCTGGATTTGAACATAAGCATCATCTTTTGTCTTATAAGTGAGAGGTGAGAAGTTGGCATTGTCATGACCTCCATGTATGTGCAGGAAAAGCAGTTTGATGGTAGTGAAAAGAGGAACTGCCTTTGTGAATGTGATGTTTTGTGTAGTGTTCTGAGTGGATATGAAAGTGGTTCAATTCCAGGCATCAAAACAAGACTGTAGGTATTGCAGAGGTTTAAGGGCTGATGCGGCTGGAGCTGAAATTTCAGCAAAGCAGCAGATAGGAAAGTCTGTATATTAAATAACTGGAAAAAGTTGTGAGATCTGGATGTCATTTTCAAGTATAGATTTAGACAGATCCCAGTCAGCTGACAAAAATACTTTCTATGCACTGCATTTCCTCCTTTACAGTAAAGACTGCGATAGATCCAGCAATGGTGCATTAAAGCTGCTTTCTCATGAGTCTCTGTATAGAGTTAGTTGTAAATGCAAGAAGACTCCAAACTGCTGCATATATATGTTGTCTGGGTATTGAATTCAGTACCTGCCTTAACTCATGCTCTTTTATTTCCTTTCAGATTTTCTATTTTGTACATACATTGTTTTGTATATACTGTATATGATGACTTCAGTGGGCAGTGAACGTACCCGGGGCACTCGGGACAAAATGCAAATTTCAGCTGCACAGCCAACACAACCACAGAAGCAAGTCGTACAGGTATGTCTACTCTATCCACTTCTTAGAAAGTGTGCATCTAATGATATGTGTTTCTTCCTGGAGTCAGTAAAAACTGAGAAAAGATGGGAGGAAAAATCATGGTCTATTTTGGAAGAGTATGCTTGATTACTTGCTTTAATTACTCACTAAGGCAGGACAGCATTAAGTTGTTCCTTTGTTGTCTTTAAAGGAGCTTTCTGTTCTTCAGCAATGTTTCCCATCAATGAGGAACTCTATGCCTATGCCTGTATCAGGATTTCTGCTCTGTGACCTCACTGTCCGCAGATCTCAGCTCTTCCATCTGCCAGCCTCCTGATGCTAGGAGATTGCTGGTCATTAGAGGAGTTTGGGTGGGTGGGAAAAGCTTCATTAAATGCATGCTGTATTCAGCATATCTGCAAGTGACAGAATCCTCAACTTCTTGTGTGATGATCCCACACAGTGAAATGGTAATTCACCAGTGGAATAAAATTATTTGGAGTATCTATTAGATTGAAATTAAGCTCTCACCCCACTGTCTTCATTCTCAGCCCCAGAGCAGTTGTGTGCTTGTCTGGGTTACAGAGAGTGCAAGTTGTCTCTGCTCCTGGTGACTCATTGTTCTCTAGTCAGATATTGTCTCTGTTCTCTGCTGGCAGAGTGTGCATCAATCTAGAGGTGCTCCCTACAGAAACTGTCTCTTACTGTTTTCTGGTCTGGTCTTTAACATGGAGAGTCTCTTGTTCTGTTTTGTACAGTAATAATTTCGTGGCCTTGAGCCTTTATCTCCTTGTGTTGCAGCACTTTGCATAGTGGTGATTCATGCCAATATATGGATTTAGAAAATTACTTTCAACAGATGAAGTTGAATTTGGTTTTAAAACAAGCAAGGCTGCAGGAGTAGAGTGAGCAGATTGGTGGAAGTGCTGGTTTCCCTTTTTGTGGCATTGTGCAAGACATCAGTTTTGGGTTCCCTTGCACAAGGCAGATGTTGGCAGATGAAAAGCTACAAAGATGGTTGTGAGGCTGAAGCACAGGATGAATGAAGGGTGGCTGTGGGAGCTGGATTTGTTCACTCCTGAGAAGGCAAGGCAAGGTTGTGTCTTCTATTCAGATACCTCATGAAATGGTATAGGAAGGTAGAAGCTGCCTCTTCTCAGAGAGACAGTGGCACAAGCTGGAACACTGGAAATTCCACTTGTTAAAAGACAAAAAATTGTCTTTTGACAATGAACCACAGTCATGGGTTAGAGAGGTTGTGCATCTTCTGCCTGACCCCAGGCAGCTCCTCTGACAGGACATCCTCTCAGTGGGATGTTGCACAGAGTATCACTGAGGGAGGATCTTTAGAACTTATTCAATTCATAGATTCTAAGCATTAAGTTTTTCAGGCTTTTTTCTGCATTTAGTCTGCTTACTCCTTGCATAGTAGATAATGGTTTTGTCACTTCAGTGAAAAAGGTAGTTATTTAGTACGCGTCAGTAATGTCTTAGTGCACCATATTTATTGTTTAGGTATCAGATGAACCTTTCGGCTTTGTCAGTCTTTGCAGATGAACAGGAGTTTGTGGATTTTACTGTTTAATCAGCACTAATTAATTTTTCTGAATGTAGAATAATGTTGCTTTCCCAAATGGAGATTTCATTGTCATAGGATCCCGTTGATCATCATTTAAGTTATTTAAGAAATTACATCACTGTTCTTTTGCATTTCTTCTGGATAATAAATGTGCAATTTTATTTTAAGGTCTGGGTCTGTTGTCACTGAATTTTGTGTTTTGCACACTTGTGTTTTCTGATAGTTTGGAATTTTTAGTTTAAAATTTCCTCTACTCTGTTATGCTGAAAAACTTGTCTTGACAGGTTGAGTGAAGTTTTAGCTGTCTTAAGATGCAGCTAGTTTCTTAGTCACAATTGAAACTAAATTATTATACTCTCCTGCAGGATACTGCAATGTTACTTGTAACAGTGGTGCCTTAAAAATTAAGACCCTCCACTTCCTGGGGAAAAAGCCAGAACTTGCTGTGACACTGGTTTGGTGTTTGTGTCATAAACACATCTTGTGGGGTTTTGTTGTTGCTTTTTTTTCCCCCTCAATCTTCAGTTCCATCTGGGTGTGATACACTCTCATAAATACCAGTGATATTGCCCTACTTTTCTCCAAGCTCTGTGATTACACAAGAAAACTGAAGATACTGTCACACATTTGTAATTGTTAAAAAATCGTAATGCTTTTGTCTTGTGGCATTGGCTTGAAAAAGAGTTGGTTTATGGAAAAAAACACAAGAATCTTAATGGCTTCCTGTGTTTTGGTCAAATACACTGTCATATCTCTACAGAAATTAGGTTGTCTGAAGGTTTTTTTTCTCTGGGTATCTTCGAAGAAATATCTTCACTATCTTAAAAGTTGCAATGTGTCTAAGGAGGCTATAGTCAGAAGAAGTAGTTTGATCAACAAGACTTATATTCCTGAAACCAGCAGACCCTTTTTTTTTTTTTTTTCAATGTCTGCTGAGCTCTCAGCAGACTGAGGGTGATGCAGGGAGTTCCCAACAAGGCTCTCCCGTGTTACCCAGTGGAGTGGTATACCAGGCTGTCAGCATGATGCTTTGAAAACATGAAGTAATGCAGAGTAAGTAACTGTGTTACAAACACTAATTCTCCTGGAATGTTGCCCCTAAGCACCGCAAATGTCCCTTCCGTCAAGGAACTGGGACAGCTGCAGTAACTTCTCAGCAAATAAGCAGCTGGTGGTGTATGCTGGAGTAATTTTTAGACTCTTCTCAGCATTTATACTTGGTGACCTCCTCTAGAACATGCATTTGTGGTAAACTCCAAAATCCATGCAGTTTGAGGCTGATTAGGTCTGAAGTAGTGAGGCACAGAATTTCATGTGTGAAGATTTTCGTCCTGTGAGGTGGGATAGTGAGAGGTGAGATTTAGCCAGCTGCCCAGGGTCACACCTTTCTGTCAAGAATTCCAGTGGGTGAGGTCGTCCCCCTCTCAATGAAGAAACACATCCACAGCACATCAGCTCACATTTTGTGTCCTGGCTTGTTGGAGAATGGCTAAGAGAGCGGGGACATGATCCTGGGAATGCACCTGGGGAAGGCTAAAAAGAGCTAGGCTGCAGTCCCCTGGGAACGCACGGACACAGTCCTGGAAATGCACCTGGGAATGCAGTGTACAAGCAAGGCTCTGGAGATAGTAACTTATATATAGATAGGGAGTAACTCAGCTGGGCAGATGGCAGGGGCAAGTTGTCCTTGAGGGTGAGACAAACAAGTTTGAGACAAACAGCTAGGAATGCAGCCAAGCCTGAGAAAGTAA